CGCCGATCCTGTCGATGAAGCTGACTTATCAGCAGCAGAGGCAGCACTGAGGGATCTTCCTTTGCTACTGCTTGTTTCCCCTGTGTTCGCTTGATTCTCAACCATCCTGTTGATGTTCACATCACCTGCACTCCTCCTCATTGACAGAGCCACCAGTACAATCGCAACAAAAGCCAGTATCACCTTCGTTTGACTTCGTGCTGTGGTCGTGGCCCTATCATATGGGCTGCTTGGTCTTGATGTAGTCTTCATTGCTTCTTCCTTGCTTTGTGCTAAAAAATAATGATGATTGTTGTGCTTTTATGATGTCCTTTTATGCTGTTGCGTTGCGAAGTTGCGAAGTGTGGAAGCAAACTTTCAAGTTGTTTTGCTCTGTTATTGCGGGGTGGTGTTTTCACCGCCGCCGCCAGCAAGAATCAGTCATCGAAGTCATTATTTGGGTCATGATGGCCTCTGACGGTCACTGAAATACCCAGCCACGAACAAAGTGCTGCACGATACTCGTACTAACTAGCTGGCTGGCATACCAGTAGATCTACCAGTACCGGACTGTGGCTGGCATCCACCTGCGAATGTCTCCACGGTCCACGGGCTTTTCCCTGCCTGTTCAAAGGTTCCACGGCACCACTAGCGCAGTTTCTTGGCACACAGGCACACGGCCTCGACACATGTTAACTTAGGAATTACGAAGTCCCTGGAGGGATTAAGTTCTATAATTAGATTTGACACGGCCTCGACACATCATCTTGGGCTCAGATCAAGCAAGAAGTCAATAAGAAATACAAAGCAAATTGAAGCTCCGCGTCTCCAGGACTAATGGCAGCCGTAATGAAACGCATATGCTGGGCTTTACAAGTCTTTTTTTGAAAGCCACCTCTGTGGCCTCCACGGCCTCTGGATCATTCAATTCTCATGGTGGCTTTGGTTCCTTGGTTTTGCTTTTGATACAACACAAATCAAGCGCTTCAGCAACACTGTCTAGTGCCCTTTTGGCTCCACCAGCCAGGACGGGGCCTGGAAGGGATAGGTCACGACGTGGAACCTGGAGTAGGTCCAGGGGTATGCACTGGAGCTGGCTGGTCCGGGCCGGGCATTGTTCTAGGGGTACGGTACGCCCTAGAGTTAATTGGTCCAGACAGAGGTAGGTCCAGGAAATGGACAGGTTTGATCCTTGAGGTGGTCCTAGAGTGGGTCCAGGACCCGGTCCAGGTGTAAGGCCTGTAGTGGGACCTGGGGTGGGTCCAGGACTTGGGTCTGAAGTATGTCCTGGAGCTGGACCCGGGGTAGCTCCTGGTGTGAACCTAGAGGTTGACCAGGGGTAGGTCCTTGTGTGGGAACTGGCGTAGATCCAGGGACAGGCTGGTCTGGGGGGAGGTTTAGAAGTGGGGCATGGGATGGGACAAGGCATTGGACCTTCCGTTTGTGGCGGAGTTGATCATGGCGTGTTGCCGAGCCATGGTTGTCAATAGCCTTCGTGGTTGGTGTTATGGTACCACCGGGTACCCAACAGCATCAATAGATGTACCTGGTACGTACCAGTGCCTTTCCACTATCACCATTCAATCTACCGGTATGTGGTGACACGGCAGATCTACAGGCGAACAGGCGCACTGGCGTATCATCCATAGGGGAACAAGCGCTGAAGGACGAATGTCTTGCATTAGAAAATAATTGCATTACATGTAAGTTACTAAACAACTGAACTTCCTCTTCGGGTCCAAACTAGAGCCACCAGGAGGCCACACTTTTAGTGGCTGTCCACTCTCAACCACGCCGCCGCTAGAGCTGGGAGAGTGCAACTTGGAGCAAGACCCGTGAATGTACGGCTTTTCATTATCTTCCTCCCAGCTTCTTAGCCCATGCGGTGGTATGCACTCCCTTCTTCTTCATCCGTTCCGAGCTCCGAGTTGATGTCGTCCAGCCGCGGCGATTTGCCGTTCTTCAAAAATGCCCCTTTCCACCATGACATGAAAGCTTCTTGAGAAATCTTGTACTCGTGGTTGACATCAGCAGCATGGAAAGCCTTGATTCCAATTCTATCGTCAATGTCCATTCCAAGCATTGACAGCAAGTTTACAAACTCCGGTAGAGTGATGAATCCATCCTTATCATAGTCAAAGCGATTGAAGGCATTGCCCAAGTAGTCATCGTCTTTCAAAGAGTCGCGAAGCTTGTAGAACATCCTGGCGGAATAGGCGCCGAAAACGACAGCAGAGAAACCAACAAGAGCCATGAACCCGCCAGCTATCAGCGATGGAATGAGAATGAGGGCGCAGCTTAGACCACCGGCGATGATATACAGAATGCCACGACCCCAGACAAATCGGAAAACTCGGTTCCTCCTCGTGAGGGCGCTGCGAAGGTGCGCACGAATTCCAAGAGGGTTTGTGCACATGAAGCGTCCTTCCAATACAATGCACAGAAGCGAGATCGCATAGATGAAAAGCGATAGAACGATGGACAAAATCGTCCATGTATTCGGGTCAAAGATCAACGCGTACGTGGTTGTAGTGACCAGCGCAGTGGCCCCAAAGAAAGCAGGCACTCTGATAAAGGGTCCACCTTCTTCCGCCTCGAACCTCCACTTCATCAAATGGCCGTTGAAAACGCCATACAGGGAGCTACTGGCATTGGACTCGGCCACGACCTCGACCGGCGAAGTGATCTCCATCACTCGCATCTTTCGGCGCCTTGACGCTGATCGCCTACTTCCAGACCCAGATTTCGTTGACTTCATTGACTTGGATTTCTTGAACTCATGAGGAGTAGCAAGTTTCTCAATTTCCTCATTGGTTTGTAAGCCGGGGGCATCTTGGTGGTGCCTGTCCACAGAGGACTCTTTCTTCTTCTTCTTTTGTACGGTGGGGCTCTCGAGGGCGGGAGGTTCTGCTCCCTTTTGGCTGGTCGAGACGAATCTTTCTTCGGAGACACCCCTGCCAATGCTCTCTGGAGGCTCTCGGGAAACGTCTGAGTTAATATCCATTGATCTTGGGCTTCTAGGTGGGCTTCGTGTGTTCGTGGGGCTGGCGCCATTGCTACCCCGGGATACGCTAGCATCTACTTGTTTTCTTTGTTTCCTTTTCTCTTTTCCAGATCGCGAGCTCTTCGGAGATAGCGATAGCGTTGGTTCAGGCGGATCTTCCCTGATAACTATTGGTTCCGACATGGACTGACTCCCATCGACAATCATTTCCGGGTCGTCCCCCTGGAACGAGGGATCTGCATCGATCTGTTTCATGATTCTTTGCTTTTGTGCATCGAGATGTGGACACCTGCTACCCCTACTACTCTAGTCGGTAAATGTGCAAAAAGGTCTCTTGTGTTTGACTTTCGAGAAAACTCACCGACCAAGACGAAGGTGCCACATTTGTCAAGGGTTGCACTCAACCGTTGTGTTGGCGGTAGCATTCTAATAGGCGACAGATTTGTCCAAAAAGTGAGAGACGATTATGAATACCTAAGGAATGTTTATCTGGTGGCTGGAGATAGCATTTGACAGGATTTAGAGACCTCCAGATCGCTCAATCGGCAGGCGTGTGTGTGACAGAAGTTCATACTGTACTTGGGTTAAGGCTTTAATATTGATCAGCCGGCTTTTGTCAACCTGTCGGGAGTTACATCATGTGGTGCGAAACTTATGCATCCATCGACTAACTTACTTATAGACTACTTTAGAAAGAGGAACACAGCTTTCAAAGAGCCTCAGAACTCTATTGACAAACGCAGCAGTTTTGCGTTCTGAAGCTCTTGTTTCCCAGCAATACAGTGCTTTAATGAAGAAATGCTTTGAGTTGAGTTGCCAGCATCAGGATCGCCATTCCTAAAAACTTACCGTAACTTACGATCCATAGAGCGAATCGAATCGAATCAGCAGCCAGTGCTGCACCTGCAGCTGCAGAGTGACTCACTCTGTCAGAATGTTTGTCGCCCCGCAGTTTTTGTTGTCCCCAGTATTTCTGGTACTGGAATGCCCATCCAGTCTCATGTCTAACTTTCTCTCCCCCCCATCAGCTGACTGACCATGTAGCGGCTGGCTAGTATTGTGACTAGACTGGTGCATGTACGGTACGGGTTAAGGGTCTCAGAGCCGCAGAGATACACAGCAGGGGACATTGTCGGCTACTGATAAAAAAGATTGTTTACAAAGCTGTTTCTATGGAAGGTCGACACGACTTTTGTCAACATTCCGGTTCGGCTTCATCTAGTCTCTGTGTGTTGATTGGCGTGTGATGGTCTCTGAAATGCTGCTTATCAGCATCAACATGGGTTCTCAATCTACTTTCTCTCTCGGTGTAAGGAAGATAACCAGGAAGATCATGCCAAACATGCTCCCAAAAACCGCCACAACTGCAAGAAGGCACCCGGCCAGTAGGGGTGACAGACCCGATGTTTCCTGGATCCAGCTGAAAAAGCCCATCAAAGAAACTCCTGCCCAGATTAGCAAACCTTGTAGCCTTCCAATAGGACCCATTGGGGACGAATAGAAAGGTATTGACTGTGCCCAATTCGAAAAAAGCAAGAGAAAACGTTGGCTCGTCCGTCGCCATCATAACGCTTTGGTGAAAGCACAAACTCATCATCATCATCATCAACTTACTGGTTGATCCTTGTATCCTTTGGTCGCAAATTGTATCAAGCCATTTTTCGACCTCGATCCCTCGAATTCATAAACACTGGAACCGTGGACGACGAAGAAACTTGGGTAGGCATGGACCGAGAATCTCTGCCCTAATGCCCTTTGCTGTGTCGTGTCAACCTTTCCAACGCGGACTTTCAGCTTTGAATTCGAATGGAAATGCCGTGCGATCTCGGAGTAGGTAGATGCGAATGACATACAGTGCGTGCACCTAAAAGGCATAGTGGTCAGCAAAATAGAGACATGAGCGACAGACCAGTTCGCATGTTAGGAGGTGGTCCCGTTCGGTTCCAATTGTATATATACCACCTCAAGGAATCGAATCCTCATCAGCACTGACCATGGAGCATAAAACTCTACCAACCACACGGATCCATCCCCAACCATCCTCTCAAAGTTGGTAGAAGTCAGGACCACCACATCCAGGTCGCTGCCACTGCTCGTGGTGTCTGGACTTTTGCTCTTGGTTCCACTATCACTAGTAGCCCCTGATGCAACTTGAAACGAGAATAGAAATGCCAGGAGCCATGCCCATCGAACATATCGGTTGTTGATCATCGTGCTTATTGTTGCTGCGATACCGTATAACAAGGCGGAAGTGGCCAAGCAATTTCTTGCGAGAAAGCTTGGCTTGTGCCATTGTGACAGTTTTTCCTCGGAGGCAATCAAGATCAACTTGGCTTCCAATCGGGCGTCCATTAAATCTCTCTGAGTCCTAACCCTAGCCCGCCAGCTACTTTGTTTTGCTTTTCATTCGACCCATTCGACTCAAAATGAACAGAGCCGAACGGCTCGGAAGCTAAGCAACAAAGATTGATCAGCAGGCAGCAGCAGACAGTCGACACAACAGAGACAGCAAAACGTTAGTCTTGTCCAGTTTAGTTGAGGAAGTAGCTCTGTAACCATGGAAGAAGAAGGATCCAACAACGCGGCTAGCGGAGGCAGTGGCGCTGAAAATGTGCAGCAGCAACAGGCTCAGTCGGAGCGAGAGCAAGTGCTGGAGCAATACCGAGCAAAGATCCGAGAGCATCGTGAAGTCGAGGCTCGGTTGAAGCGTATGCGGGAAGATGTCAAGGGGCTCCAGGGACGATACCAAAAGACGGAGGACGATTTGAGCGCGCTGCAGAGCGTTGGTCAGATCATCGGAGACGTCTTGAAGCGGTTGGATGCGGAACGGTTCATTGTCAAGGCGTCCTCTGGGCCCCGTTACGTTGTCGGCTGCCGATCCAGACTCAACCATGACAATCTAAAGCCAGGAACCCGTGTGGCGTTGGACATGACAACTTTGACCATCATGCGCATTTTGCCACGAGAAGTCGACCCTACTGTGTTTCACATGCAAGCTGGCGAGGAAGACGGAGGCGTCAGCTTTGCCGACATTGGTGGACTCAATGAGCAAATCCGTGAGCTGCGAGAGGTCATTGAGCTGCCTTTGACAAATCCTGAACTTTTCATTCGCGTTGGAATCAAGGTAGGTTTTTATGGTCAGGATTTTGTCTCTCCATTGGGAACGAATGCAACATTCCTAGACTTTCGGCATGTTTTCTTGCCACTCATTGACGAGACCTTTTCCGTCTCTCACTTTTTAGGCACCCAAAGGAGTATTGCTCTATGGTAAGATTCTATTGGTTTGTGTCTCTGGATTTCTCATTGAGACATGATATCTCACCGTGTCCCATCTTCTACTAAAGGACCTCCTGGCACTGGCAAGACGCTTCTTGCTCGAGCCTTGGCCTCCAACATCAATGCGACGTTCCTGAAGGTCGTTGCGTCTGCCATTGTCGACAAATACATTGGTGAATCCGCTCGTATCATTCGAGAAATGTTTGGTTTTGCCAAAGATCATGAACCTTGTGTCATTTTTATGGATGAGATTGATGCCATTGGTGGCTCGCGTTTCTCGGAAGGTACTTCAGCAGATCGTGAGATTCAGAGAACCCTTATGGAGTTGTTGAACCAGATGGATGGATTCGAGGACCAAGGTCAGGTCAAGATGGTCATGGCAACAAATCGGCCTGACATTTTGGATCCTGCCCTCTTGCGTGCTGGTCGACTGGACAGAAAAATTGAAATTCCAGAACCCAATGAAACACAGCGATTGGAGATTCTCAAAATCCACGCCGCTGGAATCACAAAACGTGGTGACATCGACTTTGAAAGTGTTGTCAAATTGGCAGATGGGCTCAACGGTGCGGATATGCGCAATGTGTGTACTGAGGCAGGCCTGTTTGCCATTCGGTCGGATCGCGACTACGTGCTGGAAGAGGACTTTATGAAGGCGGCTCGTAAGATCCTGGATACCAAGAAGCTCGAATCCAAGTTGGATTACAGCAAGGTGTAGACACGATTCTTGCAGTCGAAGTCGCAGTCCTTCGTAAGGTATGCGGAAAGGCACCAGGCACAGTACCATGTTAGAATTTCATTAGAAACAGTTCAAACAAGGGACGCGTTCAACCTAAAATTAGTTTGTACATGTATCAATCGTATTCCTTGCCTTCTCTCTAGCTAGGCTACCGGTACCAGGTACCTGCGCAGCGTCTAATGGTATCGTATCGTTACATCAGAATCAATCGATTGATTCTGGCTTGGAAGAAGAGGAATGTCTGCGGCATTGACATTCGGAAGAAGGATGTGGTGTAAAGCAAGTCATTGTGAAATGACTTTTGAAAGTTTCAATAACTCCTTCTTTTCAAATCGGGGGGGAGGAGAAGCCTCCAATGATGAACCAGCTTTCTTGGCTTTTCCCTTCGCCTTTCGATTTCCGAGGCTTTTTGGCGCTTCGAAGCCGAAACCAACCGCACCCCATGTTCTTCCGACCCCCCACCGACAACGATAACGTTAGAAAACTCTTGCAGGGTAATGGTGACAAAGTAATTGCAACTGATGATCTAGCTAGCACAGAAACAAAAGTGTATACCCTGAACTCAGTAATAGTTCTACCCAATCTGGGCGGTTGTTTGCAAGAAAGCAATGGCTGGAAGAGCAAGTTGCTAATACATGTGAAGGTTGCTTTGTAGGTGATTTGCAGCCACAACTTTTTGTACTGAAGGCTACCCCATAAAATATCCTTTGGTTTTGAGCCACAATAATGGTGGGGTTTCGTCATGTAGCCCAAGGTCATTTCAGGGTGGTACAGTAGAACAGTACTGTACCACATGATATTTGTCGGGGGTGCGGCGAGTGGGTGGATTGCTGGTGCACAGAAATTGTGACAATACCAAAAGCTCGGCTGCCGACTTAAAGAAAATTTGCCTTAAGTTCCATAATACTTAGCGCAGTTATCCCCGAAAGAATCCAGAGCATCTCTAAATATTTTATTTTAAGCCAAGCGCGCTCGCACTGAAAGCTGTTCCCTTCCCTCCACTGTCCTCTCATTTCTAAAGCAACATTTCTTGCCATGGGATCGATGCTGGAAACATAATAATCCCGTCATCCACCGTCTTGTCCTTCTTGACTTCTCTGTTGGAATTCATTCTCTAGTAGACAAACTGTATTGAAACATTCATATCAACAGAACAACAACAGCAACAACATGCCTTCTGCTAGTGACCATGCCAGTAAAGTCTTGATCTTCGATTGGGACGATACCATCTGCCCCTCCACATTTGTAGACAGCTATCAAATCGAACACATCAGTGAGCTGCCGCTGGACGTAAGTATGGAGGTGGAGACCTTGTTATCTCAGTTATGGATTACACGCCATGATGCTTTTCTTTTCTCTGCCGTCAAATCTCACTGGATTTTGTTTCCTGCCTTTGTTCTCACTATCGTTTCTCAGGTTCAAGAATTGTTCCACGAAGTGGCTCGATGCGCCGAGAAGTGCATGAAAGAAGCTGAGAAGTACGGAGAGGTAAGCAGCCAACAAGCTCGTTAGTCGTCGTCGTTGATACGCTTTGTCTAGCGTCTAGTAGAGGGGCCATGGAGGCCATCGTTCGTCGCAAAGCAAGACATCCGCAAATCAGTCTTGCCTTGTTGGATTTTTTCGATTTCTGTTGACGGTTAAGCCCCAGTTAACTCTTCTGTTGACGCTGTCAGCACGGATCAGAACTAGCTTCTTCGCGATGGAGAACTGTCGTAACTTCGAACGGAACGCAAAACACTCACCAATTTTTCTTCTTTGTGGCATCTAATCGCAGGTGATTGTGATTACCAACTCAGATGAGGGCTGGGTCAAGTACTCTGCTGAGCGCTTTGTGCCACGGCTGCTTCCCATCCTGGAGAACTACAAAGTCATCTCGGCTAGAACTCGGTACGAGCGGTTTTACCCTCAGTCTTCCCTCTGCTGGAAAGGTGAGTTGATTCCTGTGGCACCTAGCTAGCTCTCTAGCTAGCTTCTTTCTGATGTTTCTGACTGGTCGAATTTCATTGGTTCCATTTCCGAAACAGCCGCTGCGTTTGCCCATGAAGTGAACGAATTATTTGAAATGAAGGGGGCATACTCGGATAGTGCATCCGACAAGTCCTACGACAGTCTGGAACTGACCGATGTCTCGACGGCCTCGGAGGAGTCTCTCGCACACAGTAAACATGCGGGCTTTTCCTGGCGTCGACCATCGCGGCGTGAGATTGTTTCCTTTGGGGATGGGATGGAAGAACGGACCGCTGTGCGGATTGTGGCAGAACAGCTCACCGCCATTCCCAAGAGTGTCATGTTTTTGCACAATCCCACGCCTATCCAGATTATTGGGCAGCTTATTATGCTGACCAACCATATGAAGTATGTCTGCCGTCACGAGACGAGCCTAGATCTTGAGATTAGCTCGGATCAGGCAGAGAGTTGTGCCGAGCGCTACTTCAAACGGCACAACATTCACTTTGACACTGAGTACATTGGGGCCACGCCATCGGGGGGACACTTAGTGGTCGATAGAATACCGGTAGATACTACGACCGCTGACAGTGAACAGCACGCTAATGGGGTTGCTGTGTCAGTGTCGCTATAGCTGGGTTGCGAAAATACTTTCACAACAAAACACAAGACCACAAGGCAATCAAGCTTCTTGCACCTAGATTGCATTTTGACAGAAGTAAAACTACTATAGTATTGGCATATTGACGCATAACCTTCACTCTCGCCTTCTTGTTAGAACCGCCTAAACTAGCTGATGGCTGACATTGTGATCTTCTTCCCATTAGAGCGATACAATCTCATCCAACGTAGAGCCTTTCTTCTTCTTGAGGGCGTCCTTCTCTCGTCGCTTGTAAGTAAAGCCAGGTGGGTTCCAATCGGGGCGAAAGCCAAAGCTCCCAGGAGCCACATCCTTGACAGATACTCGTTCGGATATCATTATTTCCAGTCCGTCTTCTTCATCACCAATGGGTCCGTCTGATTCCGAACCTACATTCATGCTGGAAGCCGTGTAGCCCAATTCCAACGATGCAGCGCCTGATTTGCCTCCGGCTGCCACCAACTCTCTTTTCATGTGCACGGCCGTCCAGAAAATAAGTCCTTTTTGCAGCGTCAAAGCGGCATCAGTGCTACAGTTTTCTCCCTCGGCACAAACCTTACCGATACGAAACCAATTCGCGCCACTGTTCTCTACCCCAGATCGCACGAAGATGTCCACAACTTCAAACTTCTCGTCGCCTTTGGGGCGAATCTCCAAATCCGTAATGGACACAAAGGTGTCCCATTGTTTCTCGAGAGCATTCTTGTCGGCGGATATTGTCAGGGGTTTGGGTTTGCTATTGGCAGACGGTTTGCTGCTGCCAAAGCCACCACCGCCTCCACTTTTCTTTTTCTTTTTTGCTGATAAAAGCGTGAGGCTGGTTGGAGACGGCAAGAGCGCCTGAAACCCTCCCACAGGCTGCACCGCCAGTACCAGTAGACAGAGTAGTAGTGCTATCCTTTTGAACATGGTGGATGGTGACAAGCAACAGGCGATGCGTTACTGCTACCAAGTTGTCAAGGAGAAAGCCAGAGACACCGAGGTGCGACGATTGTCGTCTCGGTGTGGATATTCAGCAAGACTGGAGTATCTGACGTCATTCATGACCAACCTCGACACCAGTCACATGGTTGTAACAGTTTCATTCCAGTCAAGCTTTGCTTTCTGCCAGCCGTAAATCTATCATGCACTGTGTGTGTGTAGTGTGTACGTGTGTACCGGTATTTAAGTATACTGAAGCATTAACTTAGCACGACTGACACTCATCGTTTTCCTCTTGGTCCTCTCTTTGCTCACAAGATTTGATTGAGATTCAAAAAATTGCCCAACGGTGCCTTTGGTTTAGGCGTGAAAGGAACCAGTCTCTCTACCAGAGTTGTTGATTGGCTTCATATGCTTGCAAGATGATGAGAAGAGACGATTACATACCGTTCGACGAGCCAGAATACAGCGACATAGAACGAATTGCCAAGGGTGAGTACTACAGAGGTTGACTCTGGTTGTTGGTTCTTCTTGTTTCTTCTTCTCTCACACTTCTTTCGCAGATGTTGCAAGAGCTCAATCCAAGGAAGACATTCTAATCTTGTTGGCACAAGTCGCAAGACAGTTTGAACAAGACGGCGCCTTCATAGACAGCGATTTCATCATTGAAGATGCTGCCCAAGGTCTCGTGGTCAATCTCCACAACGCTATTCTGTTGAGAGATGGATCCAAGAGGAAGTACTATCGCACGGCACTTACCTACAACAGGGCTGTACAATGCACAGTACTCATCACTGCCATTGAAATGATGCTAAGGTTTTCTCCAGAGACGCTAGTGGACAAACCAGACTTGATGCGAGAGGAGCTAGTGCCATCCATACCAAAGCTGCTGAAGCTCTTGCTCACGTGGGAAGGCGGTGAGACCATTCGATTACTGGCGATCTCGAATACCATTAAAATCATACGTCGAGTCGGACCCAACTGTCAGGAAGCCACTGATGCCTTCGTAGAAGCTTTGCTCTCAGTTCTCCGCTCTCACATCGGACCAGCCAACCCTGAAGTCGACAGCATTCACGTCGAGGCTGCCCATGCGATTGCACAGATTTTTGACCAGCAAGACCGGACAGCGTCTAGGAAGCGAGTGATCGGACTGATTCAAGATGATTCAAGTCATATTATCTCTACACTCAGTACGGCCGCTTTGGCTACCACAAACTCTGAAGACGACGAGGAAATCCTGACGTGCCTGTTCAGCTTTGCTGTCAACTCTCACACATTTCGCACCAAGATGGCCAAGCGACGATGCACCATTCTGGCAATTGGGCGACACTTGAAACGAGAGAACGAAGAAACGAGGAAACTTGCGCTCAACATTTGCAAGTGCTTGCTGAACGATCAAACACAGACAACTGCCGCAGAACCAGTCAGAATGGACTCCAATTCAGAGCTTCTGGTGAGCAAGGTCGTTGATTCAGCCTTGAATGAACTGGAACCAATGCTCCAGCTGTATGCTATTTCTATGCTTGGCGATGCGATACGCAATGCTCACTTGCCACTTGCAGTGGTGAACAGCATCCTTTACACGTTGAAAACAATGGTGGGAGGTGACGAGAGCGACGACGTCGTTATGGAGGCATCAGTCACCTATTCAAAGGCAGCTTCTACAATCAACCCAGACAAGATCGAAACGGAGATCCTTGGATCTATCGCTGAATTCACAACTCTCCCCTTTGCAAGGGCCCGGGCGCAGGCAATCAGCACCATTGACTTCTTTGCACAGAATGAACAACTTGCCTGGAAGCTTGTCAGCGAGACCGAGATGATGGAAAATTTCAGCCTCATTATCACTTATGGCAGTGATGAAGATTGTGCGGATGCCATAAATGTTGTCAGACTACTTGCTCGAAACCCATCTTACCATCGAACTCTGTGCCAGAATAGTAGCTTCTTGGGTGCACTAGTCCATGTTGTGACGAAAGAAGAAGTTGTCAATCGAAATGCCTACGTTGGTGGTGTTGAGACATGCCTGGCTCTCTTGGCAAACAATGACAACATCAAGAGCTTCCTACCATATCCAGATCTCTTGCCATTCTTCGTGTCTTTGGCCAACACCTCCGTTCACGATGAAGAGTTGAAAAAGAAGCTAGTGTCAGCTATTGTGAGATTGTCATCTGCCATCCTGGGGTAACATGACTGCTGTGAGAGTCTGGGGGTCGACTCACTCAAGTTTCCGCTGCATTTCGAGCTGATGCAGATGTACTGGTACCATTCATCCAATCTGATGGGGTCCTTTAAAAAAAAGTGCCCTGCACTACGAATGGCAGTATGAAGTCAATCCGACCGGGTATGTGTCTTTCTGCGTACGCATCGTCTGCGAAAGCAGAGAAAGATACTGACTAGGTACTCGTAGAACCGTAGAACTGAAAACTATAGAGCGTTGTTTTCACGTGGTAACTTGTCTGAACATGAGTACAGTACAGCCAGCTCCTGCTTTTCATGTCGAAGCAGGAGAGAGACAATTTTTCCCGTGGACATCCTTCAATTGCATGCAGCAAAGTGGCTTGGTCAAACTATCAACCCCTTACTTTGGAAAACATCACAACTATCTAATCATAGAGCGACTAGTAGTAGCTACTAGCTAGAGGGGCATGGCTTGTTCTTGTGAGCAGCGATAGCTGCTCCCGTTGGCGTAAGCCGCATGTTGCCTGTGCTGGAATACCCTTGCCGCCGTCCAAAATCACCCGTTTCATGGAAGAAGGGATCTTCGACAAAATCAGGGCTGTCACTGTTTGCCTGGTAGCGGCTTGGATGGCAACAGAAAGGAATGGGCAGGTGAATCAGAGCATTGTTCCTTTCGGGATCGCGATACTTGCAACAGCATTGGGCGGGCTTCCAACAGTACAGACGGTCTGACTCGTTCCTTCCTTGTAGCCTGCTACAGAACATTACTCCAAGTTCAAAGTTTGCATAGCTCCGAATGCGTTGCTGGTCCGAGCTATCCGTTATTTTCCCTTGTGCTCCGTGAGAGAGGCTTGCACTTGTCAGGAGGAAGTAAGAGAAGTAGGACTCGGCCTTCCCAACACCGAATTCCTTGCGCAGCTCGCCTTCATGGCCCCCAAATAGGCGACAGACACTTTTGATGTGTGGTGTCTGAGGGTCGCGCTGTTCGGGAATGCTAGGCTCAAACCTGTACAGAAGGAGGCTTACAAGCGTGAGACTCAGACTCACCGCAAAACACACACACACACACACAAAATCACTGTATGTGGCACTCACATCACCATTTGAGATAAGCAATCCAAGTCCCAGGAATTGAACACCTTGCATGACATAAACAGATAGGGCGAGGCCGAAATCAGTCCCTTTTCAGGGTCCTCTTCTTGTTTCAGCTGAAACGCTGTGTCGTTTAGACCTGCGACAGATCGTGGGGAAATGGAGGATTTCTTTTGGCTTTTCAAGTAATGATCGACATTGGTGTCAATGTACTTTCTAGTTGGCCAAACGATGTCCAGTCTCTCCAGCGCGTCCTGATCACAAACGTACTCATCCACCCGGTTCCTTTGTGGCTTTTGGCGCTTGCTGCTTGATATGTCTCGTTTAGATTCATCATCTTGTCCCAGGTAGGATCGTACAATGTCCGCAATGTCACGTCTCTTAAAGTTGGTCCCGATGCTGGTTGGTTGAACGATCAACCTATCGTCCCCCATGAGTATCTGAGGAAACCAACTCTTTGTCGTTTGAAACTTTGCACAAGATTCAGCAGAGGCCATTGACAGTCTCGAGATGATATCAGCAACCCGTTGGCGCCCATACAAGAACTCCGTAGCGTCGCCGTCATGTCTAAGGTGCTTGATTGTGAAGCGGCTCTCGTAGTCGCCTGGGACGGTGGCTATCAAGTGGACTTGGGCCTTGTCCCATCGATACGCGCGAGAAAAGTCCGATAATGATAAACCCACATGCTTCTGGAGGAACTCCTGAGGCAGCATGTCTCCCTCCCGAGAAGCGTAGGACTGGCACTCAAGAAAATTGGCAAGCACCGATCCAAAATCTGATCCGTTTCTTCTCGCAGAGCTCAGTTTTTGTTTGCTCATACGTTCCGGCAGGTCACTGGCTGGTGGTGTCTTTGTCGCTTCAAACCGCTGGACCCATGAAGCATCCACTGCATAGGGGTGCGTATGGTTGCTTGTTGACACACACACGACAGTGGACCCATCGTGAAGGAAGAGAATCGTGTATTTAGGATGATGCACGCCAATTTTTTTCTGGACTTTCTTCCGCCATGAGTTGTCACTAGTCAATGGACTTGTTGGTCGATCCTTTTGCGGCAACCATCGAGGGAAAACTTCAGTGAAATGAACAGACGGACCGATAATTGGTTCCTCTTGCTTCTTCTCAGAAAATCTGGCCTTCCCTTCTTTCCGCCAAGACTCTTCTGGCACTTGGTCATAGTCCATGTCTGCATCGTCATCAGAGTCCGAATCTTCACTGTCATTTGCAGTATCCTTTTGTTTCTTCTCCAACCGTTTGGACAAACCCTTCTGTCCATGTAAGATAAGTGTTGGTACGGTACCCTCAGGTCCACACAACTTCGGGTAGGCTTTGGCTATCCAGCGGGGACTGAGTGTATAGGTAGCCAAGATGGCGGCTTTAACGTCTAATGATGCAATGAGCTTTGAAAGATCCAAAAGCGGAGGTGCTTGGCGAGCCCCACAGGAGCAATCTTTGTTGTAGTGCGAATAAACAGCGCTCTGGTTGCTGGGTGGAGAGGATTGTGGAGGGTCAAGAAGCGTGCGGTTCAAGTAGAAGCGATCACTGTAGTATTTGACACCTTCGACCTCCAAGAAGGGCACCTCAAACGGAGCGTCATCACAGTCGATTTCGTCTTGTTTCTTGTTTACCGGTAGTTCTCTGTCGCGTCCTCGCTTGATGCCACGGATGCGGTCGATTGCCTTTGGTTTCGGCATGGCCGAGTGCTCTTCACAAAAACTCAAAGCAATGACGACCAGAGAAAATGATTTCGAAACGGTTTCTGTGCAAGGACGGTTTTCTTCCCACCGACAACTGGCACTCACAAGTGTTCCACGATGAAGAATCCACGGTACGGGCGAAATCCTTGAACCAATGCTTCTCTCCACACTCCACACCCAAACGTTCCGTACTCGAAGCATCCCAAGAGCCTTGCAACATCATGGAAAACAACAAATACCCCATAAGATACATGTACTCTGTTACAAGTTTATGACGTATACTCCATAAAATCAAAATCAAATGAAAGCACCTTCACAGCAGCAAGACTTTCCTATCCAAACTTGGCTAGGATTGCTTGACCACAAAGCTGAACAACCTCACACTGCTCGTGCTGGTGCATAGTTTGCATCACTATTGCTAGCCCCTTCTGCTGATCATCCCAACTTGTCGCCGTCGCGAGAATGACCATCAAAGCTGACAAAGCCTTTCCCGGCGACGCTGTTTCATTTCCCAAGGATTTCTCCAAGTACTCCAAAATTAGACTACACGCGCCATCACTCAGAAGCTCTTGTCGGACATGTGCGTCATCCTGGGCCATAACCTCCAACAGTGAAGAAGCATTTGCCATGAACGCATCATCCATAAAGTGTTGTTTCATCAGGTCTACCACCACCTTCAGTCCGAGTGTCTTGATGGCTGTTCGATTTTCTCTTGACTCGGCTCCCAGCAGGGCCAATGTATAAAGACACTCAGATGTCACCTTGGCGGACCACTCATGGTTCCTGAGGAGGTTTCCAATCTCCAAAATCGCTGCTGGTCTGTCTCCCTTGATGGCAACAAGGACATGAAGGGACTCCAGGGCTTCGTACTCCAGAGACTCGTCCTGTGCTTGAGACATGTGCAACTGTTCCAGCACCTCGTACGAGTCCGGATACTCTAGAATCCTGCTGTCCTCGCATTCCACAAACAGCTCAAAGATACCATGAATGCCACGCAGCGTTCGGAGGTTTTGTCGCTCATACGTCAAGTTGCGCAAAGCGAACGTTCCGACTCGGACAAGTGCTCCGTCCGTTTTGTGCAGGCTTAAGGCCTCAAAGATGGCCTTCAAAACACCTCGGGAAACGATGGATACCTTTTGGCCTTCCATGTCGATGGATGTATTGGACAGAAAGGCGATTCCATCTCGCTGGACCGGCACGTTGTCTAGATACTTTTCCATTGTCTCGCAGACATACTTGGAGGCCACGACCAAGCGAAAGGACTCCCTTGTGGACGCCTCTGTCGAGAGGCCTCGTAAAGCAGAAAGACCAGCTGCCACCACGGACTCCTCCTCCAAAAACTGTTGCAAGAGCCCTACCAACATCTGGCACACTCCTTGCAAGACCATTGTAGTCCGCGTCTCTTGGTTGACACTGGCCAAACAGGCAATAGCAGCTGCCGCGATTTGTTGCACTTGACTGCAGTTGCCAAAATTCTTCAATGCAATGACGCATTCCTCGTGTGCATTGACTCGCACCAGCCGTTCCTTGTTGCCACTGTCTGTTTTGCAGATTTTGCAAATGGTTTGAAGGCAGATAACCTTGATGTTCTCTTTGTCGGAGGAGGACTGCAGAGCGTTCACCAAAACTTCCACTAGGAATTCAAAGTCTTTGGCATGGGCGAGTTCTTCAAGGAGAGTTTTGAGATTCTCTTCCGTTTCGTCCACAGTTCTGTCCTCGTTTTCCGGTTGCGGCTGCGAGTAGTGGTTGTTGTGGCTGTTGTGGCTGTTGTTGATGTCGCTGGACGTGATGGTTGGCGCAAGCCCCGGATTGGATCGAAAGGCTGTCAGATTGGCCACTCTCCTGATAGTCTTGGGGCTCAAGCTTTCTGTGAGTGGGGGGGGTGCTGGCGCAGGTGCTGCGGCGCTGCCATGGTTAGGAGTAGATCCTGAACTGGAAGAACGTTGCAAGACGGTGCTACTGTTACAGGTAGTTGATCCGTTGATGCCTCGTTCATTGCACGTCGATGGTTCTAAATAGGAGGAGGAAGAGTGTTCGGTGGAGGAGAGAGAAATTTGACTTGGCGGTCTGGTGAAGTGTCCCTGTGTTCCGCGGTGGCGTGTTCCGAAAACTCCAGCTGGAGAAGGCGCCACCGGCGGAACATTCTCCCCATTATGCACCGAGTCATCCAAACCAAAAGTGTCATCGTGATGGTGGTAGCTGGAGAAATTGTTGCTGTTACTGGCCCGAACAAGATCGACGGGTGCTCTGCTGCGGCTGCTGCCGCTGTTTGTAGGCGACAATAAAGAACGAGACGAAGGAAATGTACTGCCATATGTACACCGAGAAGATCCGCTATGAGTACTAGCCGTGGTCAAAGAGCTGTTAGAAGCTTGGCGCGTGACGTCTCTTCCACCACAGCGGTTCTGAGAGGCACGAAACAGGTCTCGTCGACTTTGCGACAGCGCCAGAGAACCACTGGAAAGTCCTCTTTGAATGTCTCTGCGGCTTGCGTGATGGGAGCTGCTGTTGAGAAGCATGCGACCCGATTGCTGATGCCATCGAGGACCCTTTTCTGGTTTGCATTTCAAGCAGTGGCCTTCAAAGCACCCCCCTTCCTCAGTCCGAGGTTCCTTGTTAGTCCATAGTGGATTGATGCGTGATTTTGTCACAATAAAGCAGAGAGTTGGAGGCCCCTTGCAGGAGAGACAGTAGCCATTGCGCTCGCGCAGCTCTCGTTTGGTCTCAGTACTCATGACCTTGCCACATGCCTCAACTGTCATGGTTTCATAGGACAGATCTTCTGCCGATACCTTCATTGTTGGGTTTGTTTTCGAAAAATGACGAGAGGAAAAAGCAAGCACATGGCGCAATGGCGAAAAACGCTCAAGTTAACATCAACATCAAAGCGGGGAGAACCCGTGTGACGTCAGGTCAGGAACTAAAGCAATAAGTTGACGTTCTCTTTCCACAGTGGGGAACTGGGACTCGGGTTGAATGCTGGATTTTGATTGGATGATCAACTTGGTTTTGCCATTTCTAAATTTCTTTAAAGAAAACGAAAATGTTGGTGAATGCTTCAAAATATTGCCACCCTCTACCAGTACGGTAGACTATTGCCACCATGGGAAAGCGCCGCCACTCGTAGGAGGAGGGTTCTTCCAAATCTGTATCAGTACCGTACGTATCCATACCGGTAGCATTCGTATCGTCATTGGATGGTCCCGAATCTTTATCCTTGGAAGCTCCTCAAGCGTCTCAAAAGAAGCCAAAAATCCACAGACTCTTTTTCTTGAGCTCCGAATGTGGCAAAACCCATGTGAAGGACGGAATGAAGCTTGGAATTTGGGTGCATATAAAACAGCGCAATAGATACAAGAGGAACACGCTATCAGAGGAACACAAGGTGTAACTGAACAGTGCGGGGTTTGTCTCGTTTGTGGGGCAAGGACGCACGTAATCACTGCTTGCAATCAGTCTACTTTCCACGGCGAGGAACTCTGTCTTCGCTTGTGCTTGCGAAGGGGAGGGTTGATGAGGGCTGCGTGGTACCGTAGTGCTGAAAATCAAACTACTAGCTAGAGAAACGAAAGGAAGAACAGAGCTTGGTTGCAATGGTAAGATTGTAAAGCGTCAAAACGCACAGGGTGGACCCGACCTGTGTCCAGCAATTTTTTTTTGGCAATTCGAGCCTAAGGATGAATCGCCTACAGTATGAATGAAAACGAGTTCGGTACCGGTACCCGTATCTGGAGCAAGATCCCTCTTTTGGTTAAACATAGATATCAACACTACCACATACCCGCCGCTTTTTGGATTGGACAACATCAACGAGGACAAATTGCATCGGGGTTCCGCTCAATCCAGTCTATGCCATAATCCTCGTTCATCAATCTGACACGGAACGTGACCGAGAACGCGAGCGACTGCCTCGAGTGTTCCGGTCCTTTTTGCCTTTGTCGGACTTCGAGTCTGGAGACCGCCGCGATTCTCCGGCTTTTCGCTTCGATGATTCTGTTCTGCGTCGTTTTGAGTGTCTGTTACGACTGCTTTCTTCGTCCGAAGCATAGGACGGCGATCGACCTCTCCTCCGTTCCTTATCTTTTCCTTTCTTGCTTCTCCGTCTGGAACGGGAACTACCCGAGCTGTCGCTGGAACCGGAGGAGGAAGAAGAAGGGCTCCTGCTCCTCTTGCTTCTGCGACCACGCCGTCTTGGACGGCGGCGACTGTAAGACGACGATGATGAACTCGAATCACTGTCCGATGAGGAGCCAGATGAACTAGAAGATGACAACGAGCTGCTGTCAGAACTGCTTGATGAGCTGGATGATAATACAGAAGAGTCATCATCATCATCCTTCTTTGCAAGTGCATCTTTCTGCGCTTGCGCCATGATGAGTTTTGGAGCATTTTTCAAGTGCGTGCGAAGCGCGTCTGTCAATGGGCCGAGACCAATGGAAGTGAAAAAGTTGATGGCATATCTTGTGCTTCGAATGTTGTCTTTTGGGAACATGCCCTTGTACCATTCCATGTGAACGGGATCCTCCGTTTCAAAACGAGACTTGAGTTTGGAGATCCCCATTGCCTCAGCAATCTCTTGGACGAGGATTTTGACAAAAATACGCGACGAGGACGTAGTCTCGTCTTCATTCAAATGAATGACATTGAGGACAGTCCAAGGCATTGCGTCTGTATGCAGCAAATGGGCAAATAACTTTGCAACGTTCCGAAGCTTGTTTGTCTCCAACCGATGGATTGTGTTGTACTGCTGCGTGAAGGCTTCCATGAATGCAATTTTCCACCTCTCGTCCAAAAGGCAGAACCGAGCCGAGATGAGACCATAGTACCTTAGAAATGTCCTTTCCTGGGAGCAACATTCGATGAGCATGTTAATGAGTTCTTCCTCACGTCCCTCTGGGATATCCACTTTAGCCAGTTTGTGGGTGCATTCCTCAAATGTTGCACTGGACATGATTGTGAGGTATATAGACCTGCGGAGGTGAACCAGATCGGATTCACTGAGATCCCGAACTGCTACAACGTTATTGGCAGCAGGGGGTGCCTGGACAGTTTCCCCAGCGTCGTCTTCAGAGTCGCTTTCATCGTCAGAGTCGCCGCTTTCAGTATCGCTATCTCCACTATCATCATCGCTGCCACCAATTCCCAATATTTCGTTTCGAATTGTCTTCCACTCTTGCTCTGATTCAGCGAATTTTGGGTCCACCCTGAACACGTCCAGATGGTCCTCCTTGCTGATATCTTCGTCGTCCAAACTGATTTCAAATGTAATTTGGTCGTCGCTCTCGACCAAATCCAAATCCTCTGGTACTGGAGGGTAATCACGGAAACCCGTCTTTCGCAAAGCCAGTAGCTTTTCCATTTTATACTCGACTCGTTTGTTGAGTGAGCCTTCATGAAGAAGCGACCGAAGACGTTCTAGGACAGCTCGCACTCCGGCTGGACTGACCTCCAACAGGGCATTTCCAGAGACGGTCAATAGCTGGACTGCAATCTCACAAGAATCGTCTGTCGGATCCCCATCCAACAGAAGAGAAAGGATTTGCAAAATCAACAATTCGTGTACCATTTGTTGATGGAATAAATGAGCCAAGAAAATGGCGGTTGCCAAACAGGATTGCTTCTCACGACGGCGGTAGTGACGGCGAAAGGAGAGAATGGCTCTCTTCACAACAAGCTCACCCACTTCAGGCAGCTTGCTGTTGATGACCGAGATGAGAGCAGCGTAGACGTTGGAATACCGAGGGGAGCTCACGGCTGCCTGAAGCACGGACTTTGCGAGTACGCCCCGTAGACGAATCAAGTTGACCTTGTCGAAGAGGTCATGAATCAAGGGTTTGACTGTTTCTTCATTGAGTCTATTGATCGTGCCGTGAACAACGCGCTTTTCGTCTTCCCAAGACTTGCGTTGTTGTTGAGCTGAAACCATCGAATCAACTTCTTTCCTTTCAATGTCATCTTTCTCATCGTCAGCTTGCTGTTTCCGTTCTTCTGCGGCTTGTTTCTCCAATTGACGGCGCTTGGCAGGTGGAATATAAACACCTGAAGATGACAGCTCCTCCAACCGCGAGGTGGCGGATCGCTTCGTTCCAACGGCAGACTCTTCTCCTCCTGGTTGCTTTCCTCCTGGTTGCTTTCGATCTTGAGGCTCATCCACCACCTCGCCTTCTTCATCGTCCTTGCCGTCTCTTATCGCCATCTTCGAATGGAATGAATAGAATATATTATCCAAACCAATGAATGTCTCTTTTGCTGCGGTGGTCTGAGCGGTGCACGTTTCAAGGTGGTTTTCTGGCTGCGCATAGTCCAACCGTCAACCGAACAACGACGTAGGTACTGTACTACTCGCTAGTAGATTATAACGCTGGCTTCCGGTGGTACCAGGTAGTAGTAGTATATTAGGGATACGGTACCGGTTATAATAGCTCTTAGCGTGCTGCTGCATTCCTTGAGATCAAGGCATTACCTACCGGTACAAATTGAGCATCAAAACTAATAGTGACCTTCAACAGCTAGCTAGCTAGTGCTAGTAGAGGAAACTCTAATCCGTTTCGTATGCCATACTATTGTACCAAGGTCAACCACGAAGGCGACCCAATGCCGCACTGAGCAAATCGAAAACTCATACGATCAAATCGAAAACTGGGGTGTCTTTTTGTGCTCGAAGCTGACTTCATTCGACGCTCGTTCGCTGCACCGAAATGCTGCACTGCCTCATTCAATTCAAGAGAAGAAAAGAAGCATCGGGAACTTTCAGAATCGATCAAGGCTTGACCAGGGCAGGCGAGCTAGCTGTGCCGACGCAGGCGAAGAGACGAGGGAATCTCGCCGTAGGCTCCATCCCACAGGATCTCAAGTTCAATATGTTCCTTTTGAGTTTGATCAATATTGTTCGCAGTAACCCTCCAGCACATGGAGAAGCTTGAAGGCTGGCTCTTTGCAGTTTTCGGGGAACTTTGCGGCAGCTGCGCGTGCCAATTCGCCAATGTTGGACGCTTGCATCGACTTGAAGTTCTCCACAATAGCTAGTTGTAACAAAACTTCGCATGCACTTTCTTGCACTTTTGCGTCTTCCGAATAAAGCACCATTGCCAAAACAATGGCGTCGAGGGCCTCCTCATCTACGATCCTCATTTTGCTGCTCTCGTCAAAAGCCAGGTTGCAAAGAACAGCGCATCCCATTTCCTGCACGGCACCCGAGTCAACGTGTGCTTGCATAGCGTTCACGACAGCTGATATGCCACCAACTTGCAACACCATGCCACTGTTGTGCCTGTCAAGCGTAAGCGTATACAGAGCTCTACAGCACCACTCCTGGACCTTAACATTGTCCGAGTGCACCCACATGGCACGAATCACAACATCAATGCCTCCACAATCACCTATGACAGCCTTGTTGTCGTTATTAGATGCCAAGTTTGACAAGGTCCAGGCCCCAGCTTCCTGGACTCCAGGCTGGTCTCGATGTACTTGCATAGCCGTGATTACCGCATCAATGCCGCCAATGTTCGCCAGCTCCACTTTGTTTTCATCGTTGTTTGACGACAAGTTTTTCAATGCGCGCAAGGCTTTCTCCTGCAGATCAAAATCGTCCGGGTGCATCACCATACATATCACAACAGCACCTCCTCCCCCCATATCCATGATGTCCTTTTTCAACGGCGACAGGTGGGAAGCCATGTTGGTAATTGCGGAGCAACCCTTCGACTGGACCATTTTGTTATCGGAATGCTTGTTCATTGCTTCTACAACTCTCCCGACTGTTCCCTTTTCAACCATTTTCAAGAGATTAGCTTCGGCGGCAGCGAGATTGGACAAAGTTCCCATGGCGCACTCCTGGACTTCGTTGTTGTCCATGAACCGGTCCATGTCTGCCAGGATGATATCGAGAGCGCCAGCATCGACAAAAGCTACTTGGTTTTCTGGGGTGCCGCTGCCATTCCACACTGCCCTGCAACCGTGAATCTGAAGCTCTACATCTTCTGGGTATGTATGCATGGACTCTGCTATCAAGTCCATCGCGCCGTGATGTGCGAGCACGTCTTGGTCTCCTGGTCCAAGGTGTAGACAGGACAATTCCTTAAGGGAATAGCTTTGAACCAGAGTAGAGCCGAGGTAATCTCTCATTACAGCAAGTATTTCAGCACAATCACCGTTTGCAGCGTGGAGTCGATCGAGCGCTCGCTCGTCGTCTTCGTTCACGACCGATCGAGTACCTCCTGATCGCATACTGTTGCTTTCAATTTGTTCGTCTTCGTACAATGCGTGGTTGGGAGGTACGAACCTCTTGGATGCATTTCCTCGTCCATTCATTAGGTCATCTTCAACCGATGACATGGAATCCATAGTTCTGCTGCTGCCCATGTGTCGCGCATTGTTGACGCTGCTCGGTGTAACAGCAGCGCTATTATTGTGGTTATTGGGTGGGGGTGGTTGGGAGTTGTATTCGTTGAATTGTGATTGTGAGTTGTTGAAGGAAAGTTCGCCGCCTCGATCCAACATGCCGTGCCGTTGTGCCGAAACTGGACCGCTTTCGCCGGAATACTGCCGCGTGACACGTTGTCTAGGCGGTTGATCACCATGATTCACAAAACTACGTTGCGACACGTGACCTTGCTGCTGGTAGAAATCATCTTGGCCAGGGGCAGATGGGGGGTGTTCAAGAGGCTGCTCGTCTGGATAGATTCCCATCTGTTCTACGGCATGATGCAGCTCCTCGCTCACAGCTTGTCTCCCTGCGTTGTAGTCGTGAGGTGGTCCAACGCCATATTCGTGTGGTACCGATCTCGTTTCCAGGGCATCGCCGTATGGGTCGCCAGGGTCTACTCTTTGGTCTCTCCGGTCTAAACTATGCACAGAAGTAGCCTCCAATCCAGGATGAGGAATAAGTCTTCGCCTGGAATCAGCAGATGCATATCCACGTCCCGATGAGCTTTCCAATCCATCATTATATTGCTCGGCCGCTTGTGGGGCAGCCACGTGTCGCGAAGAATTTGAGGGAGTAATGGATCGTTCCCTTCTGGCTGGATCCGAAGACGACGACGCTGAGGGTCCTCTAGATGCAGGCGTATCCATTGTTTGTGAATCAGAAGAGCGCCCTCTGGTGGGCAATCCTCCTCCTCCTCCTGAGCTACCACTGTCTGCTCCCAGGTGGAGACTGGAAGCGTTGGCTGCTGAAGCTGATGAATGACTTAGGGACCGACCAGGAGGCCTTCCAGCTCCCGACGACGATGATGCCACACTCCGTGAGCTAGGTTCACCCCCACTGAGCGTCCTTCCCGACGACGCTCTACGGCTGGGAGACCGACCTCCACCAAGTCCCAGATTTGATTGACTTCTGGAAAACCTGGCCAAGTCCTCTTTGGTTGCGGGACGGGAGACAGCAGGGATCAGGCCATTTTCCGTCGCATCCAGCGGCTTGCAATTCAAACACCGTCCATTTAATACACGGCCATGGTCTGTGATGGGAATCATCTTGAACAGCCGCTTTTGGAAGCATTTGCGTCCGCACGTTATACATTCTCCTCGTTTCCGACGCAACTCTTCGAGCTCGGTTTTGCTCATAACCGAGCCCGTCGCATTGAAATCGATTCCGAGCTGTTCCATGATGAATCAATATCTAATATCTCTCTCCAGTAGGTGTGTTGGTTAGTACCTCTTGGGAACAAACCAGCCCCAGCAAGGCGACTGAACGGCAAGCGATGACCGCGTCTTTGAAGACAACCTAACAGCTTAACAGGGTAGCAGTGGCTGTTACGGCGGTGTCAACTCAGAGACAGCTAACTAACTAGTCTGTATGTAGCCGTTGTTAGCAGTTGCTGTCTCTTCTTCTACTACGACTGCTGTTGTTTGTTGTTTGCCTTCTAACATACACTTGGTCCTTCCGCTCAGCCAAGAAAAGAGGACGAGTAGTGTTGGCCTCGAATGAGTGTTGCGGTACTCGCTCGCGGTAGCATGACTTTTATGACCGACTCGATCGACTCAGACTTCAGACATTCAAGCTCTCATCAGGACTCAAATGTTAAATCTTTCAAAGTTGGACATCTTTTGGCCCCAAGAGTGCAATGGGATGGAGGGATACTCATACCGGTACTACGTAGCTAGCTAGCTAGTAGTAGATTCTGCGGCATACCATGCATAGCTGCTAGCTAGCTAAAAGGTCTAGCTAGCTCTAGACACCGGTACAAGATATTCACACAACCAAGTCCAACCGGTACCGGTATGGCATAGGGTCTGATCTCTTGGAATGACATTAGCTACTCTTCTTCGGTACTTTGGTCAATCTGTCTTTTCTTCTTCTGCCATCCTTAGAAAATCGATTCTGCAACTGATCGGTAGCAAGTGACAATCAGTACATCAGCCACATCACCAAGATGGTGTCATGATCCCGTGTTTGGAACGGAGTACAATGAGGTGCAGCTCTATCCAGTTTCCATCTCCAACAATCTTCTGAGATCGCATTCTGTGACCCCATTTTCAACACGCCAGTGAGCAGTATCGAGCCACGGAAAAAGCAACCTTTGCCCCTCAGAAGCACAAGGAGAGAAGAGGAGAGAAGACCTCGAAGCTGTACCGATCGGTCCCAGGTAGGGAGCGACACCCACACACATCGGCCACCCATATCAGCAGGATGTTGTCATGGCATCCCTTCGAACGGAGCTCAAAGCGATGCAGCTCTTTCCAGCTTCGTCCAACTCCAAAAATCTTCCAAGAGCAAATCCTGATATTCCATTTCCAACACACCACTGAAGAAAAAGGAACCACCAAGAGCGATCTTTGGCTCTAAAGCAAAAGTGCGGTTGCTTGGATTGATGGATCTTTCAACCTTGCAGCAAGCCCAGGGAGAGAAATCTTGGAGGAGCCCGTTAGCCTGTGAGGCAAGTGGGCTGTACCTGTAATGTACCGGTTCCGTACGACCGGTACCGGTACCAGATCATACCGTACAGTAGACGAGGTGCGGACGTGCGGACTGTCCGTTCCTATTATTCGATCTTTGCCAATCCGGTTGATTTATCTTTGTACCCCACGCGCAACCTGCAGCAGGAAACCAGCTGTGATAAAGCCACCATGCAGCTTTCGTCTGCTCAGCGTTGAAGAGGAAATCCTCCCTTGAAGTGCCTCTCCCATAGATCTAGTAGATAGCTACAGAGAGCTATTGCGGAATGAGTGCTACCTAGCTAACCAGAGCTAAGCGCAGATGAGTCGAGTCGAGTCGACTGAGCACAAGGGCTCAAGTGGACTAGACAATCAAGCAAATCATGTCCCTTCTGGAGCGTGTAAAAATCTTTGCCGTTTCGTTACCTTGCCAGGAAGCAGACAAGATGGAGGAGAACTACCGTACCATCTCGAAAGACACAGCTACACCGGTACATCCAGGAGCTCTACTACGGTAGTAGCTATAGAGGAAGCCACCACCAGCTCCAGAGCAACTCAACGATGGAGGATCTAGGTTTTGCAAGAGGAAGTATGGGAGCACACGCGATAACAATAACTAGCTAGACTGAACATTACATGTAATCTACACTAAACCATACCAATCGATCACGCCATGAAGACAACCAAGACATGCAAGGCTCTGCTTTACAACAGAGATTACGCGGTACTCTAGGTCAAACCGACTACTACCTCTTCGCCTTCTTTTTTGACCGCCCCCCAAGGGGAATTGGTTCGAACGGATTTTCATCGTTGTTGGGGGAGTCTTGGTGCAACGCCGACGCGAGCTGTGCCACAATGACAGTAGCTGATGCTGTCGAGTCAGTGCGCTGGTGGATCCCCTCTGGAGGCTGATTCGAAGTTGTAGCTGATCCCGATGGGTACAAACCGCCCATGGAAGCACCCCCACTGTTTTGTAGATACGCAATACGCGGCGACTCGGACGCAAAACTTGCAGGGAATTGCAAATCGTTACCCTGCTGTTGGGAGGCGCGGACCTCGGTTTCAATGCTGTTGTTCGTCCATTGCGCCACGTGCGATGGTTCACCATGTACTCGAGCGTTGTCTACAGCTGTCATCAGAGCGTCGTTGCCCTGAAACGTCCTGTGTCCTGCGAGATCTTCGGCACGCACCGGATGAAACTGTGGCTGAGTTGCATAAAGAGAAGCAGGTGGATTGAAAAATGTGCGCGTGGTTTGAGATCGAGAGTGCTGTGGCCATGATTCGTGTCCCGAGGACTCCATCCGACGCCCTAAGCCCTGCCTCAGGTCGATCTCTGCCAAGTCATCGACGGACGAAGCGTCACCACGGCCATAGTATCGTCCAGGGGCAGAGTCAGGTCGATGAAACCCCTCCCCATGGCAAGGACCATTTCCTCCCGCTGAGAGATCAACATCGTTACGATCCCCGAAATGCCCCCCTGCAGACAAGGACATCGCCCGTGAACGCACCTCACGTCCTGCAAGACGCTCATGCGTATGTCCCGAGAACGAAAATGCCCTTGGATGCGGTGGATCTTCTCGAAGTACCGTCAAGTGCTGCCTGCTGACCAGGGGACTCGGAAACAATGACTGCTGGTTGTCCGCCAGCGAAGCACCTTTCCGGAGAGGAGACATGGGAAGTACAAAGAATGAGCCATAAGACTAACAAACAAGTGCAGAGAAAGATGGGGTTACTCACTTGGTCCGTGTCCTGATCCGGTATCAAGGGATGGGAGCATGGTTGCCTGTTTCTCAATGAGCGCTTTGGCCTGGGTTCTTTGGCGACGCTTCTCGTGCTTAGCTTTCTTGGAGGATCTGTAATGTTCTGCAAGAGCATCCCGAAAGGCTGGGGGAAAGGGCAAAAGTAAGAGACAGTTGAAGAAGTGCACAAGGTCTGGCCGGCCACAGAACTAACCTTGGCTAGTCTTCTCCCTGGACGCCAGGAAACCCAAGAACAGAAACAACGGTGAGAATGGTTCCACTTGATTTCACATGGAATCGAATCATGGCACAACGGGGGCACCAAACTCACCTTGCCAAAAAGTCACCAACCTGTACGGTACAGCAGGCAAGTAATCTCACTACTTAGACTCCATTTTCATTGCGATTTTCATTGCGATTTCAAACATCAGAGTCGTGTCGTCTTTACGGCTTACCTCGAACCATTGATTTGTTGTGGCATCTTGCTTGACGAAGCCCCCATCAGGACTGCTTTCTCGGACCTGCGACACAATGGACGAGAGAATCTCCGACTTCTCGGGCCGTGAAGCAGCAGCCTGGTACCGGTCAAGATATGATTGAACAATCTGACGGAATCTCTCATTCCTGCGAAGAAAATTTGGTGAAGCAGTGGTTTAGTGCTTGCTATCAATGACTGCCTGATATATTGGTATTGGTGGCAACCCAGCACTTACCCTGTATGTGCATAACACCTACGGTACAGCCAAATCAGAGCAAGGGGTGAGAAACGTTGATAAGGGGCCCAGACTGCTACTGGCTAGGTTCACTGTCACCGGCTACCGTGTCGTCCTGCCAAAATTGTGTCACAAACAAAGACACACGTATGACGACTTACTTCTTGCCTCGTCCGCTGGAAATGGTAGCAGCAACATTGAATGAGTTAGAAGGGTAACACCGACTTGCTCGCAGTTAGGTGACGACGATTACCTGCGCACTTACCAGATAACATCGTTGGGCCCCGGTACAAAGTCCAAGTGTAGTGGCACCATTGCCTGCTTGTCATTCTTATTCGGCCCATCTTCGTGCGAGTCTGATGGCGCAGTTCGATCAGGATTCATGCCTAAGGAACCCACGAAATAACTACTGGTTCCTGAACTACTATTGTTGAAGCAATTTGATGTGCCTTCAAAGTCAGAGCGATTCATTCTCTCAGCCACACCCTTGTCGACCTGGACATTGAATTTATGTCAGTGAGGCAACAACACCCTCTCCTGCTTCTCCTTGTGTTTTCGGCCAAGCGCGACCTTCGAACCTCAAAGAAGTGAGATGGTCGATGGGTCATCGCGTCCCAGTTGCTGTTTACTTCAGTCTACTGGATCATAGAGCATCAACTCCGTCTGAAAGGCACCTTCAATTATCCTTTAAATCTTCTCGGCCCTATTCCCGTTTAACAAATTAGATTGAAAAGTTATCTGAGCTGTTCTTCGGTATCTGCTGTGACACGGGAAGTGGTACTCTAGTAGAGCCAGTACTCCGGGGTATTGCGGCTTTGCATTGGGGTTGTAGGGTTGTTGCGGTCTTGGTCTGTGCCTACCAGATACCAGGTTCATTCAGTATCGCTGTTGGGCGTGATAGTTTATGTTGCTGGTACGGTAGTGAAGCCATCAGAGAAGGGCTGAAATTAGTAAGATTGGAAACTGCCTTGTGAAAGTCTTGATCGCAGCCTGAAAGCGAGGGCTGGAGTCGAATTTTTTGATACGACACGATGCCGGTAAGATTGGATTTGAAGATTAATTCGACTCTTCGCTTACTGGGCTCCAAAGTAGGCTCAATGGAACGACTTCGGTAGCTCATTCCTGGTCAACTTTTGATATCTTTTGTTGACGTTTACATTGGTATACATGTGCGGCTACAGTTACTGGATCTAAAATCTACTGCAGTTTCCTGCTGCAGTACACCGATTTGAAGCTTGAAACTATCCAAAGTAGGGAGGCGGTGGGCTGGTGGATAGCAACTATCCTCCGCTCGGAACACCGACTGGACGGCAACTGTGGAGCTTCTGGACCCAACCTAACTAACTGGTGTGCTTGGGTGGAGGAGGCACGAGTGCATGCATGGGATTGCACTCCCGCAGATCTGTCAAGGTCAGGTGGACCCGGGAAACAAAGCTTGAAAAGAGGCTTCACGGGAAGCACCTTTGACTGTGACTGACCTTAAGTCATTGAACTGTGAATGCGCGATGAATTTAGCGTGAAGAAACAGTAAGAGAGTACACGCAACAACAAGATTGGTGCTTCAGAATGATTTAAGCCAAAGCCTTTCTAAGCAGAAACTCTTCGGTGTTCTTCAACGATTGACAGTCATTATTGCGGCATCAATTCTTTCCCAGACTGGAGAGAAAACCCTATTTCTGGCGAAGGGTTGTCTCGAAGAGTGACAAGATTCGTTGCTATCCGTTGTTCTCTGCAACTCCGCTCATTTTTGTGCCAAATTTCAGCATAAGATGGTGTTCGAGAATAAGGTTGACGACTCGGAGTTGAGGGAGGAATCAACAACGGTAAAGTCTGTTGATCTTGGCGACGGCAACACCGTCGTGACTGTTTTGATGCTGTTCGTTCTCACCTTGGCCGATCGGATCCAAACCTGATGGTGCATCTTGTTGGAGTATAGTCGTTGCGTTGCGTGAACCCATCTCTGTCGACAAAAGTTTGAGAGAGGATTCGATTCAGACTTGGAGTTGTTCTTGCTGGCTGCTATGCCAAGACCAAATGCATTCGGTTGCACCAAGCCCCACCTTGGCACACGACTTCTTTGTTCCCTGATGCTGCTGGCACCAATAGTAACTTGCTTCGCTCCAACGAGATCAGAAATACCCCATTGCTACTCTTTCCACTAGCATAGAAACGATATGTCTGGAGTAGAGCTGTGTGAGGTTGCTATTGGCTGACAGTTGGATTGCATAGTTCAGATATTGTTCGAAAGGATTGCTATAGTTATCTTGTGATCTTGCAGACTGATCACTCGACACTGTTCATCTCGTTATCACTCGACACTGTTCATCTCGTTATCAATCCTGCAGACTTCGGAGGCCAAGGACCAGGCGGTTGATGCAACTTGTATACTACTAGATAGATCTCAAAATCAGAATGCAGCTGGCTTGCACAAGTCGTGAAGACTTCAGAATGTTTACGTTGTAGCTCCTACCGGTAGCTAGCCCACTTAGTTATCATTCTCAAAGCCAAAGTCTCGCTTGAACTCGTTTCCGATCTGTTTCTGTTCACTCTCTAATTCGCGCTCGACGGCCGCTTTTTCTTCTTCGGCTTCCATTTTTTCAGCTCTTCTGAGTGCCTTTGATTTGCGTCCTTGCATTTTGTCAATATCTTGTTTGTTCATATGGAGCCGTCCGATAGTCTCACCAAACATATTTGTAGATTGATTCTTGACCTTCTTCTTCTTGGCTGCAGCTGGTTGTTTCATGGCAGCCCTCCACAAGTCAATGGATGCAAACTGGTCTCTACGAACCATCATGTCCAAATCGGGTCCACAGGGTGTCAAGAATGGCACTGGTGTATTGCTGCTGCCATCTGGATTCTTTTTCAACTTCATAAAGTAGGTTCGTTGATGGATAGTTTTGACGCTGGTATTGGTGACTGGATTCATTTTTTCCGTCAAGGAGAAAACCATGACATGATCCAATCCTTGCGCCACTAGTTTTTCCACTGGATCACCACGGTAGAAATCGACCAAGAAACTCTGGAGACGCCTTGTATTGTCGTTTTGTTCCCAGATATCTCCAAGGAATAGCATTAATGGTTTGGATCCAATTCGCTTTTTGGGTACTTTGCCTCCATAGTCCTCCATGGACTTGAAGCGAGTGACTCCCACTTCGATCATGTCCAACACTTGTCGATCAAAGGTCCGCCCCAGGACCAGATTGTTGGGTCGTTTCTTATTGTGGCCTGCATAATCGATTGGATAGAGTGTAGCGAGAATAACTAAAAGTGAGATACTGGATTCAAAAGAATAAGTAGTATGGCATGCGGGACTTACTGGCCATGGCAAAAAGCGCACAATCATTTTTGGTGGTCAAGAATTCGAGTGACATTTGTCCTTCGGAATCAAAGGCAAAAATTTGATTCTTCTTGGCCAGCAGTTTGGCATTCGGCGCTAGCATGGCTCTGAGATCTTTCAAGACGTGTCCCATGGCATGGCTACATTTAGTCCCCTTGAGAAGGACCGTACTTTTAGCACCTTCCTTGATCTTGGATTCCTGACTGTTGAGGTAGCGCTGGACACGGGCTTTCGGGGCCTTTCCTCCCGAAACAACCTTGGCCTTGGCAGCCCTGGCTTGTTGGTTGGTGGGTGCCATGTCGTCGTCAGAGCTACCGTATGATAGTACAGCTATGTAATGGAAGAAAAGTTCAAAGGTGTTGACTTTTCTTTGAAATGATGCCAAGAGCGGAAAAGGAAAGGAACGAGAAAAAGATGAGTGGTCGTCAACTATGCGCCATCATGCGCATAAGGGACTCGACTCGACTCCTTAGTCCCAACCGTTTCCAATACCGTAACGGTAGATTTCCCGCGTATTAGCGCTGCGGCAAAACCTACGGTACCGTACCGAGCTGGTACTGTACAGTACCCGCGTATTAGCTATGCGGGTACCTACCGTATGCGACGGTTCGGTACGTTTCAAGCTTCACACAAAGCTTTGGATAACAGCTCTACTAGCTAGAAGCCAAATCCAAATCCAATCACAAATTACAAACAAAAATAGATAACTTTGACAAAGATGATGAACAACGAACCAACAGCAACAACTCCAGCCGAGGCAGCCGCTAGCGCTGAAGGCCAAAAGAATCCACCCAAGAAGAACCGTGCCCGTAGAAAGAAACGAGGAGGTGGTGGTCGAAAGGACACCAAAGAGACTGCTGAAAATGAACAGCCAAACGTGCTCAGCGAGGCTGCTGCCAAATCCACCGGCAACAACAACAAGGATGGAGGAGGAAACAATAACAAGAAAAATCGAAGACGAAAGGGAAAGGGGGGAAACAACAATAATAACAACAACAACTCCAGAAAGAATGAACAGTATCCACCATACTGGCCCCACGACAAATGCCTCAAACTGTACGTGGACCAAGATCCCAACATGATCCGAGGCAAGTTGCGCTGTTTGCCTTCCAAAGATGGAATGGCCTTTTGTGCCTGTGATCGAGGGTCGCAAAAACGGGATATTCTGATAGAATCAGCACTCGAACGAAACAGGGCCATGAATGGGGATACTGTCTTTATTGAGCTTCTTCCGGAGGAGGATGACCAAGACAGCAATCATCAATCCGGAACAGACGACGGAGTGGAAGAGTTGAACCAGAAACTGCAACATCTCAGCACACAAAAAGAGGAAAACAACTCAAACGAAGAAGCAGAAATGTGGCAAGATGATGCGGTTCAGATGAAGCTCTGGAATCCAGTGGTGCCTGTCAAGAGAATCAAAAGGCTAGAACAAGCAACCATCACAGGAGAGGAGCTGGCAAAGCATACCACACAGAGAAAGGGACGAGTTGTATGTGTCTGCACCCCTCCAATTCCCAAAGATTCTCCCAAACAAACCAAACCACGGCGGATCATGATTGGAACCTTGAAATCCCTTCAAAGTGGCACTTGCCTCTTCACTCCCAATGACAGAACGCTTCCACAGTTCAAATGCGATAACACTCAAATTCGAAACGAGCTAACCAACAACAAGGGAGATTCCAGCGACCTCTATAGAGCAGAATATGTCTATCATGCATGGAAGGAAAACCACAACTGGCCTCCCTGTGTCAACGTAAAACGCCTGGGAGAGGCACACTCCATTGAGGATCAAATACAAGGACTCCTCATGGAAAACCACGTGGATCATGGAGAATTTACCCCGCAAGTCCTTAAAGATGTCGAAGATGCGGTCCAGTCTGGAGTCTATGTGATGAATCCAAACAGTCCAGCCGCCGAACTTGGGTGGAAACCTACGCCAGAGATGCTCAAAGGTCGACGCGATTATCGCAACGAACGCATTTTCACAATCGATCCGACCACTGCCAAAGATTTGGATGATGCTCTGCATATCAAGGAGCTCCCGGATGGACGAATTGAACTCGGAGTGCACATTGCCGACGTTTCTGCCTTTGTGACGCCTGGATCCAATGTTGATGACGAGGCAGCACGACGGACGACAACGGTTTACCTCGTGGACAGGACCGTGCCAATGCTGCCACGCCCACTCTGTGAAGTTGCCTGCAGTCTCAATGAAAATGTAGAGCGTTTGGCATTCAGTTGTGTTTGGACGATGCAACCAGATGGGAATCTGGCTGGTTCCTCTCGATCCAGCAACCGTCAGGATGTTTGGTATGGTCGAACTGTCATCAAATCGTGTGCGAGATTGGACTATGGAACTGCACAGAATATAATCGACAAAAAGGTGGCTAATGGTGAGTCAGAGTCAGAAATGGATGAGGAACTCTGGCCCAAAAGTAGGCGTCCTACAGGCGGGCACACTGTTGACCAGGTGGCGGCCAATGTTCGTCTCATGCACCGAGTGGCAATGGCTCGCAGACGCCTGCGCTTCGCAAACGGCGCACTCGCCCTGCATGGAGTCAAACTCACTTTTCGATTGGACGACGATGGGAAAACACCCCTGGCGTGTACTCCCTATCCCATCAAAGATTCCAACCGACTCGTCGAAGAGTACATGTTGCTTGCCAACTATCTTGTCGCCCAGCGTTTAATAACGCACGCTGGTGACCGTGCCGTATTGAGAAGACACCCCGACCCAGTAAGTTTCATCCGACTGAGGGTATTTGAAGTCAACTTCGCTGTGGCATGTTTCTCACCGTTGAACCCCGTACATCTACTTTTGTGCAGTTGCCCGATGGCTTAAATAAGGTCGTTGACATTGCCAAAGCAATGTTTGATTTCAACGTGGATGCATCAAGTTCGGCGACCCTCCATGATTCGCTAGTCCGACTCGGAAGGATCTGCAACGACGAAGTGTTTTTAAAATGTATGACACAGATGCTCACAACTCCAATGCAAAATGCGGACTACTTTGCGGCCGGAGCATTCGAAAAAGAGCTTTGGAGGCACTTTGCTCTCAATATACCCTTCTACACACATTTCACATCGCCCATCAGGTAAGAAATTGCATGGCATCGTATCGTACCGGTGTGCCTCTTCAGAGCACGATCCTTACGTTTGTCCAAACAACTACCGCAGACGGTATGCTGACGTGCTTGTGCACAGGCTGCTCCAAGCCACCATCGACGGCGAGGATGCCGTGGATCGATTCCCCTTGAATGCGGAAGAACTACATGGGAAGTGTGAGCACTGCAACGATAAACGACTGGCCTCCAAAATGGCGCAAGAACGGTGCGACGTGATATTCCTGGCTTTGTACCTGCGAAGCCACCCAATCAAATCAGTTCTGGGGGTCGTCCTCTCTCTTGGGAACAAGGCCTTTACCGTCTTCGTGCCATCGCTTGGCGTCAATGCGATGGTTTTCCTGGAGGAGCACAAGGACTGGTTAGAGTACGAAAACCAAGGCGACGACCACGACCATCGCATCGTTTTGACTCGAAAAGCACCCACAAGGGAGCTTTGGAATCGCATGTACGTGAAAATGTTCACTAAGGTCCTGGTGTCTTGCTTATACAAAGACAAGCCTCGGGTTGATGTAAAGCTTCAGCTCGAAGGGCCAGCTCCTAAAGATAGCTAAATTGTCAGATGGTTTGAACCGAGCGCCAAAGCATCTATTTCAACGTGGATGCATTGAGTTCAGCGACCCTCCATGATTCGCTTGTCCGGCTCCAAAGGATCTGCAACCATGAAGTGTTTAAACAATACTCTAGTAACGACTCAGTTTTTATTTCCCACTTGCTGGCTATTTTCGGGTCATCACTTGGCGGCTAAAGAACAGACAGCCGAAGGCTGATGCCCTCAACTGTCAAAAAAGAGATTTGATTCTTTGGCCAAATCCAACACTGTGTTCAACTGAACACACAGTCTACTGTAGTCTATCGATAGCCAACCAAAACACACACATTGGTACTCGGAGTATGTTTTACCAGCTAACAATTAATATTTACCTCATCCTTTATGACGGACGTACAGACTAACTTGCACACATACTCTGGTA